TAATTTCTGCCCGCAAGGTCGATGACTCAGCTCGGCAAGTGAGTTGCACCGGCTTGCATCTGAAGCGGGCTCAGGCCCGGAGGTTGTGTGAGCAGGGTAGAAAAGTCCTGCGCTTCCGCATGGTTGTCCGTGCACTGCTCCTTGACTAAGCTGTGCACTTCCTTTACAACCAGGGCATTTCCTTTCTTCATTTCTCTTCTTTGTCATTCAGATCCTCTTCATTCGCTGGCCTGTGGACCACCAGTGCAGAAGTTGAACATCAGCCCCACTTCTGCAACCCTAAACCCTAAACCCTACACCTTCACAAGGGGCAGGCTGCCTTGACTAATCCTTTCAGGAAGGAAGCCGTCCTCGTTGAAAGGGTGCTACTGTTGATGGAGGGAATCTTGCACCACCTAAAACCCTTAAACTATTGAATTTCCTAGGACTTAAGGGACTTAAGGTGGTGCAAGATTTCCTCCATCAACAGTATGAATGTTCTGCTACGTCCCAGAAGTAGTTGCATGGCTTCACCCATCCTAGTGCCCTAATTCATTATAAGCTGTGGCGCACGAAGACTTCAAAAGACGCAAGGAATGTTTGGCATTGGGGAACAGCATCTCATGAGACCAGCGTCTCTCAAGGCTGCCCGCTGCAGTAACACAGCACTCCGGCTGAAACTTGTACACACCAGGACGTGCTCAGCAGCAGCTGCTGCAGCTCGAGCAGCCTTCTTCAAAGGTTAGGGTGTATAGTCCCTCTTAAGTAGATAGAATATGGGTTATCTGGGGATCTTATAATAAAATACCCAAGGCCATATGCTATCTACTTAAGGGTGACTCTAAGTATAAGTTTAGGGTCCAGCCTGACGAGCTGCTTCAGACTTGGGAGGTTCTTTTAATGATGGGTTGTCCGTTGGGGGTTGCAATGGGTCTGTGTACCGGGAAGCTAACCCGAAGACAGACCACACACCGTTATGAAGGGTGGCCCTGCATGCAGAAACAGAAGCAGCAAACCAAACTCAGAAATCCCGAGCCCGGAACTTGGACTTGGTTGCTCGGTGGTCGTGGCACTTCCACGCTGCTGAAATGGATAAGGCCTGAGTCAGGGTATTAGCTTTCTCCCGAGACCAAACTGAGGGCAAAGCTGCTAAGTCTTCTCCGCCTATCTAGAATCCGGGCACGTGTTTTGAATCTAAGAACATCTGGGCTAGGGCGATGCGAAAATGTTTGAAACCAACCTCAACAATGCGATCTGTGGACTAATTGGGGCTCAATTGGGGCTTCACAAGATCGAAGAGGAAAAAAATAAAGGCCTGCGAACAGCACAATAAGAACAAACATGAAGAATACATGTGGAAGGAGATAGGAACTTACCTAATCCGCTCCCCTGATAGCAAAACCTCCCTAATATGGAATAATAAACTCATGGGCAGGAAAATCCAGAAGAGCACCGTAAAAAGGGTAAGACGACTCTTGAAAAGAGCCACCTAATAGTGAATGTAGGGGGGTTCAACAATTATCAAGTAGTCAGTTGCTTGGCTTAATTATTGAAGTAATCTCAGTTGAGCAAACCTTCCATAATAAATTCTCGCGATTTACCTCTGATCCAGCAACTGGTCTTGATTAATTAATGATGCTTTTCCATGGAGTTTGAAAGGACCTTAATAGGCAGCCCTATGAAACCCTTGCAATGAAGCAATAAAACCCCCTCGTATAGAACAACTTTCGGGCCCCGTGTTATTTAGCATGAAAGGTGGGAGACGTCGTTTAATATTAGGGGAAGGGATTGTACGCCAGGGACTGAAGTGCCTTTGCATCCTCCGGCGTAGGGTAGACATATGGTAGTCTACCACAATGAGGAAACCCAATCCTTACCCTACTTTGGGAAACCCTCATATATTTGATACCTCACTATATGCCCCTCGTGACGTGCAGCGATGCTCTTCTACAGGCTTCGTTCTCAGCCAGGTGTCGGTGGCTGTGGCACTCGAAAAGCCAGTCGGGTTCCAGGCAGGACCTGTTCTCAATGTAGGCCGTGCCAAGTTAGACGAAGAGTGGACCAATGTCTTGCTGGTTACAATGGTTACGCGACAATGACAGGGATGATTGAAGATCAGAACGGTGATATTACTGCAGAAGTGATCAACGCTGGCTAAGTCTTCGAATTCTTACATTACAAGCAGCCAAACTGCATAAGCACGGTCTGGTATTGGACACGTGGGTAAATTTTCGCGTGCAACTGGAGATGCCTGGGGGGGGGGGGTCAGAATAAATATCTCCAATCCAGACCCCTCATCTGGGTAAGGATACATGTAGATCTTGACTTGCAGGCGAATTCTGCGGTTGACACCTGGAGCTCACTTCCCATCTCAGGCTGCGGCTTGAAGACAAAGTCGGAATGGCAAGACACCTGGGTCCGTGCGCCAAATATCTGTGCAGCTTGTATGCCCTCCAGCGACAAAGATCCTTCTTTTAGAGACCCCCAAGCCCCCAAGAAGGTAAGCCTACATCTTTAAAACAACACATCTGCTTAGACACACGCCCTCTGTATCAGGCACCGAAGAGTGACTTGGCGGTACTGGCGCAACCCTAAGCCAAACAAGACTTGACAGCAGTGTTTGCCAGCATGCTCAGATACTTCAAGAATGCAAAGTAGGGCTCAGGGAGGTGCTTTTATGGCTGTGTCATCTCAACCCCTAACCGCCAAACACACTTCTTCCCGGAAATGCAAAGTTGGGCTTGCTGAATCGGACAGGCCCGAAGCCCTGCCTGTGAGACTGAAGCCTATACACCCCTGAATGTGAAAATTTATCAACGGTAGCTTTTTTAACACACATGCAAACCCAAAGATTCAAACGCAATTCTGAGAAAAGTGGGAAAAGTGGCGCATCGCAGCAAAATGTCGCGGCTACAAGGGACCCAAAGTCATTTCTGCGACTGTCGATTCATCTGTGCCTGACCCATGCTTTCGCCATCTTCGTGGACCAAGCGCCTGATGCTCGTCTTGATTCCTTCTGTGGCTCTTACCTTTCTTTTGATTGACTTTTCTGCCCTAGCTTACTGGGGATTAGTGGGGAATAAGGGAATATATTACACAGGGATCATGTAGGGATTCCATTCCTTTATTCCCTACCAATAACCAGTAAGGTAGGCGCTGGGATTTACCCTGGGTCCTGAGCACAGATCTGTGGCAAGCTTAATGACCAGGTAAGCATTCGGGACAGGGTTTGTGATGCACCTTGCGCCCCTGGATTGTTCGTTACTCAAGGAACTTCAACTTTTTGTTCAGCACGGGCGGCCTGAATGCTGGCAAGATGCAATGATGATCTTTGGAAGCCTCCTGCAAAGCATGGGAGCCGCGAATGAAGAAGGTGCAATGTATGGCGCAAGGTGTCGCCAGCTCCGTCCAAATAGGGCGAACACAAGAGGGCATAGCAGCAAATACCGAATTGCTATGAGATTGTCTTACATATCATCAAACCTCGGCATGACAAATCACCTTGTCACGAATGATCCAGCTGTCCTGTAGTACATGACTGCAACATTTCCATTGCTAGGCAGGGTCTGGCTGGCTACTTCAACTACAGTACCAAGCAGCTACGAGATTAAACTCTAGAGCTCCGTACGGGCACTGCATACACACTAGAATAAGGTTTATAAATAGCATTTAGGCCTGTAGACTACCTCTGAACCAGCCATCTTTCTGAGGGAACCCGGTAGTCAATTCCTGCTTCAAGTGTGGAAAACCTTTTTGTAGTTGCCCGTGGCCACGCTATTCTAGTTTACCAGGTCGTGAAATTTTTGATGTGGCTACACGGTCTTTCTCAAAAACAGGGGTCCCTGGCGTAGTCCTCCTGCGTGTAGACAAAGAATTGCAAACCCGTCAAGGATCCGGAGCTTCTCGCAATTCACAATCGCAGCTCTAACCCAGAAACCCCACACCTTACAATCCCTACACTCAAACTTTACAAGCCCTATAAACCCCACACCTAAACCCCAAAAAGTATGTAAAGTAATAGCCCTAAACCCATAATAACAGCCGTGAAGGCCATTATTTTACATGCTTTTGGGGTCCAGGTATAGTCCCCCTTAAGTAGAATTGAATATGGGGTATATGAGGATCTTATTACAATATACCCAAACCCATATTCTATCTACTTAAGGGGGACTATAAACCCACACCCTCCAAGGCTCCTTCGTGCAATCAGACGCTGGAGACCGCGGGCCATGGCTTGAGCTGTCGGTCGGTCGACCAAGGACCTGAGTAGGAATTGCACTACCTGGACCCCAAAGGTATGTAAAATAATGGCCTTTATGGCTATTATTATGGGTTTAGGGCTATTGTTTTACATACTTTTGGGGTCCAGGTATACCCTAATGTAGACCGGTGAGTAATAATCCACACCCCCCCTTAATAGGGTTTAGAACAGGGGTCCTATAATACTAAGGCCCTTAAGAGGAAGGGGTTTAGTAATCACGGGTCTACATTAAGGCTCTCGGACCCCCATAGTGATATCCAAAACCTTAGCCCCCAAAGCTTGAATAAACCTTCCCCAGAAAGCCCATAAGAGCAAACATGACCCCTTGACCTGCACACTGCACTCAGCACAGTGATATCAATACTGATAGTGTTGCTGCTGCCACTCCTACCGCTACTACAGCTATTGATGCTGATTCCGACGCATGCAGATCTGCCAGCATCCCAGCGACCCTAAATGAAAACACGGCCTGCCGTAGCCCTTGACCCTAAACGCGTGCCCTGACGACCTCCCAAGCAAAAAGCAATTCAGAGTACATCTCAATGGGAACCTTACAACCTGGACAACTGCACTGCAGAACTAAGGCGCGTGAACTCCTTCAGAATCA